CTCCTCCATGCTTCCCCCATCTTCGCCCTGGGGATGGGTTTACCACTGCTCCTTTCTACTAAACACCCCCTCCCCCACCCGACCGGCGACCAACTCGATGCATTACACAGAAAACCTCGTTGTGGCAAAATTCGCCACGGCGCCCCGTGGCACGTTGAGGAGTGGTAGACTGCCAAGTGCTGTCTGGCAGGGTTTCCTGCAATCTTCTCAAAGGGGCCCCTGCCTCCTCGGGAAGCGCCTCGCTGCGTGCACCAGCCTTGCTCCGGGGGGGTCCCTGGGCGGCCATGGCGCCCCCCTGGGGCTCTCCAAGGCTTCCACGCCGGCCCAGGAGGCCCCCAAGACGATCCCAGAAGGCCCCGAATCGCCGAACGATCGCTCGAACACGCCCAATATGGCCTCAAGATGGCGCAAGAGACCTCCAAGGCACCCCGAGAGGCCTCCAAGAAGTCTCCTGAAAGGGCCCCCAGAGGCAAAAAAGAAGAATTCTGGCGTTCTCGCCTGTTCGGCTTTCCGACGCCTCAAGACGGCCCAAGAGGCGCCCCCAAGCCAGCCCAAGAGGGTAAAACCGGCCCTGCAGGAGGCCACAAGCCTGCCTCCCAGACACCACCGAGAGGCCTCCCACGAGATTGCTGAAGGGGCCCTGGGACACACAAATAAATACACACACATAAAAATATCCCCCATATTTTCCTATATTTTCTGGGGTTTTGTCTTCCCCCCCACTTCCCATATTTTCCCATATTTTCCTGGGAGTCGACGATTAATTGTGTCTGTGTTTTTCCCCCTCCTGAATTACAACGAACATCCACTAGGCTGATGACTTGAGTGGGGCTGCGGGGCCAAGTCTGCAGAACATCCCAAACAGACGTCGAGGGGCGCAACCTGCCTGTTCGGTCAAGCTGGAATTGGTGCAACACACCCGGCGTCAAGCCGAAACTCTGGATGAAAGCGAATGGTTGGACTTTGCACATCCTCGTCGGCTCAGCCGGCGAGGCGTTTGACCACCTGGACGTACCTTTCTCCGGTGGCCATGCAGAGCAAGGCGCTTTCTGACCCTCGGCCCTACTGAACTAATAACCCACAACCCATGCACGGTGGCGGGACTCGCCGTAGGCAGCTGGGCCCCTGCGATCGTATTCACGAGCCGCCACCTTCCGAAACAGAAGGTTCAGGCGGTCAAAGAATGGTTCCCGCCTGCGAAATCACCCAAAGCCAGCCATCCATAAACAAAAAAACGACCCAGCAGCACCCCATTGACAACGATCACACGGCTACTCGACAGCCGTGCACCAATACGGGCCGGCGGAATGAGCGAAGCGATCAAATAACCCACAACCCATGCACGGTGGCGGGACTCGCCGTAGGCAGCTGGGTATGGATCATGCTCGGGCGCCCCGCGATTACTCGACATTGCTTTCTCCGACCAGGACAGTAGGGAGACACCGTACTGCCTGGTGCGTGCAGGCCCGCGCCCTTTGAAGGGGCCCAGGGATACACACAAATAAACACAAACACACACACACACAAACACGTACACACACAAAGACACAAAGACACAAACACACACACACAAAGACACAAAGACACAAAGACACAAAGACACAAACACACACACACACACACACACACACAAACACACACACACACGCCATTCACAGGATTCCCCATACTTCCCATGCTTTCTGGATGTTCGTCCTCTCCTCCACTTCCCATAAGTTCCACATTATCCTGGGCATCGATACCTGCATGTGTTTGTGTTGTTGCCGTTGTTGAACACTATTACTTCTAAAGAATTATTATTGTTGGACCCCCTGGTGCACGCCCCCCGCCCAAAACCTAGGCCGCAGCTACATTTTCATCATTTTCCTGCGAAAGCTTCAGAAAAGTGGATTACCCCCGGATCCGGTTTTTTGTTGACGCTCGTTTTCCCTTGCAAAAAACAATAGAAAATGAAAATTCTTGTTCTTAGTTGATCAAATTTCAAGAATCCCTTGCAAAAAATAAGGTAAAGTGGACATTCGCGCTCGCAAGACGAAATCCTTCCAAAACCTTAGGTTTCGTAGCGATTTTAACATAAAAACATCAAAAACCCAATGGTTTTTTAAGAAAAAATTGTCAAAATGTCCTTCCGCGCGCTCTTGCGGATTCATAGGAAACACACCACTTTTTAAACATTTCTGTCAAAAGGGTCTTTGCGTGCTACTTCTTCAGGTGCTTTGAACTTCTCCAACAACGGTTGCGCGCCTGCGAGGGCCACCATCCCTTGCAAAAAATGAGACGAAGTGCACATGCGCGCGGCCGCCGCGCGCGCATGTCGAAATCCTGCCAAACACAATGGGTTTTCAATAATTTCAAGATGCGATGTTCAGAAAACATATGAAAACGCACTACTTTCTCATCCGAAAAATCTCGAAATCCATTCGCGGTCTCTTGATGAATCTTTAAAACCCAAGATGGCCCCAACAGGCGCGCAAGATGGCCCCAAGAGGCGTCCATGAGGCCCAAAGAGGCGCCCAAGATGGTCCCAAGAGGCTTCAAGAGGACTCCAAGAGGCCCCCAAGAGGTTCCAGAGAGGCTCCAAGGTGGCTCCAAGAGACCCCCAAGATGGCCCCAGGAGGCGTTCTAGAGGCCCCAAGAGTCCGCCGTGAGGGTCCAATAAGCCCCCAAGAGGCCCCAAGATGGTTCCAAGGAGCCCCCCAAAAGGCTCTCAAGTGGACCCCAAACCGCGCCAGGAGGCTTCCCCCCTTCCCCAAGAGGACCCCAAGCGGCCCCAGGAAGGCCCCCGACTGCTGACGCACATATCCGTAGCCATCTCGGATCAAGGTATCGCCTGTGTTCTTGGATCATGGCTTTGACGGCGAAAGACCTTCACGAGCAGTATGGCCCTGAGCTGTCGCGGCCTCCCTTGGCCGACTGCGAGAGTGCGTATTATTTGCATCAGGCGCTCCGGGCAAAGGGTATCAATGCTAGTCACCAGGCGTGCAAGACTTGGTGGGCCAAGTATCGGGTTGTGACTGGCACGGTCAGTATTTCTAGCGCCAAGGAGCTGGAGGAGCAGCACGGCTCTGCCATCCGCCACCTGGGCATTGAGTATAATACCGCTTTCAAATTATGCCGGGCGCTCCGACAGTTGGATCCACCACTGCATGTGCCAGATAGGGTCGCAACGGCGTGGCTACTGCAGTATTCATCCAAAGACACGCTTGTCCAAGTGCAGAACGCTGGCCACTTGGAGACGCCGCTCTTAGGGGGGTCTG